GCGACCCGGAGTATATGACTTGCCTTGTGAGCTCCTATGACCTCAGAAGGAAACTGAAGGAGGAGTTAGTAGAGCAGACTGCCAAGGATCCAGACCTCAGTCGTATCCTTCAGCAGATGAAAGTTGACCTAAGTAGTCAGCGTGATTTCCACGAGTGTGAGGGTCTGATTTTTCGACGTTGTGGAAAGCATGACCATTTGTGTGTATCCAACTATGAGTCTCTCCACACTCACTTCTTGGATTTGGCTCATGGCCGGAGTGGACACTTCAGTTTTGAGACGATGTATGAAAGTCTGTTACAGCAAGTTGATTGGCCTAGAATGAAAAGATCGCCCACAAATTTGTGGTCGAGTGTCAATTCTGTCAACGGATCAAGCCATCTAGACAAAAAACCATGGGGCTGCTGAAGTCTCTCCGTATTCCCGATGGACCCGAAGAGTCCGTCCCATTGCCACCTCATGCCCCAACTGACCTTGTGATCGACCTATTTCATAAGAAGTACATCATGCAATATGCCCCCCCCAAAAGTCTTGTGAGTGATCGGGACACCCGGTTCATAAGTGCAGACTGGAAGGACTTCACTTCCCAACTCCATGATGTCGAACTGAAGATGACATTTGGTCAACACCCCAAAGCCAATGGATTGGTTGAGGAGATCAAGCAGACTGTGACACAACTTCTGCACACTCTAATTATTCCCGATCAAGAGACATGGGATGAAGAGTTGTATGCGGTGAAGTGGTTGTACAACAACTCCATTCATTCCTCCACCAGTATGGTTGGAAGATTCACAACCCTCTCTCCTACTTGTTCCCTGAACAGCCGCTTGGTCTCACGCCTGTCATGCCTGGCTACAGCGCCAAGTATGATCACTTGCTGAAATTTGTTGTTGCAGCAATGACCAAGCGACAACATGCCATGATCGAACATGCTAACAAGAAGCGCAGACCTTCGACTTTTGAAGTGGGAAGTTATGTCTGGGTAAAGACGTCTGAGTTTTAAGAAGAAGAGGGGGTGGCACGCGAACCTCTCCTTCTCTACTGCGGTCTGTGGAAGATTCTGAAGGTGGTAGGTGTTGATCATTTTGGTCCATAATACTCCATATGTGATTGATGTGCCTCCTCATCTGCACACGTATTCGGTCTTTCATGCGTCTAAAGACTCTACTGTTTCTGTATCTTGCTCCTGATTCCTTTGATTATCGTGAGCCTATGATCCCGCGTGCAATTGATGGTGGTCACGAGATAGACAGATTTCTAAGTCATACGGGAAAGGGACATAACTGACAGTACCAAGTTCACTTTTTGTATAACCCGTTAGATGATCTGTACTGGATTTAAAAGAAAGAATTGCTGCAGAATGCACCTCGCGTTGTCAAAGCCTGTGAATGCCATATAGTTTCTGATGCTAATCCCACATTCTCTGCGAAACTCACTGCTGCGGAGTACACAGCAGCTCTCCTTGCTATGTTGGCTTAGGATGTGTTTTGCAGGGCCTCAGATTGAGTTACCCGCTGGAAGGGACCTCGCTCGTGATGGGGGGGTAGTGTAAGGACCTGCAAAAACACAGATGGAGAACACTGCTGATTTCCAAGTTTTGTTGTTGGAATGTATGGCTTGCTGAGATTCCCGCGTTCTGCTGAGTTTTCTGAGTCTGTGTGTGTGCATGCTTGCTGGTCTGTGTGCCTGTCAGAGTGCACGTTTGCCTGAGTGTGTGTGTGGCCCGCCAGGGCACTCCTGTGTTTGAGAGGCCCGTGGGGACGGTACTTACCTGTGGCTGTGACTTTGAGTGGTGCAGCGGGGAAACACTCAAGAGGTCGGAGGGGTAGGTAGGCTAGGCCGCTAGCACTCAAGTAGCGGTAGGCCTAGCAGAAGTTTAGAGGCCGAGGAACCAGTAGGCCTGGGTACGCGGGTACCAGTCCAAGTAGCCTGAGTCTAGAGCCTGTGCGGACGATATCAGACCTGCAATGATATTTCCCTCCGAAAGGAGGGAACCGGTTGCGTGGGAGGCCGAGCGGCCAGGGAGTCACCACCCTAAAGGCAAGTTGCCTCTCTATATCTCCAGGCCAAGCCAAGGGCCCAGCGTCATTTGCAGTATGCAAGTTCGGGCATCATGCTGCTTGAGGGGGCGCTGGTTCTCAGAGGGCCGCTGGGATGAGGGAGGAGGAGCTGGGCGCTCAGCTTGGCTATGGCGAGCTGCCCGGCCTGAGGAGGTGGAAGAAGGGGGGTAAGGAGGAGAGTGGCAAGGTACTTAATTGGCTATGGAGATCGGCATTCTCATCCTCTAGGTTGGCTCTGCTGCTGGAAGGCCCTAGTTAGGGTGCGCTGCTACAAGAAGGCTTCAAGGCAGAGTCAGGCATGGCGGCCTGAGATGCAGCAGACATAGCTGCTTTTGCATTGTCTTTTGAAAGTCAGGGGTTGGCCCCTGATGTCCGCTATAGCCTCTGCCTGATCGAAGTGGAGGAAGGTGGAGACCATGGCTATGGTGGACCTCATATTGTGCTGGCAGTAGGAGAGGGATTCGGACATTGGTTCTGGTTCAGCCATTCATTGTTATTATTATTATTTTTGTTGTTGAATAAGAGAGGGGGTGATAAGGGGGAGGAGATTGAGTGGCAGAGAGAAGGGGGATTTGTCTTTGGTCTTTTGCTGTGAACATCTTCTTCTTCTTTCTTTCTTCTTCTTCTTCTTCTTCCTTTGCCTCTCTCTCCTCTGAAGTTCATTCATTTCTTTGCACAATGATGAACACAGGGAATCACCGTGAAGCTAACGGGCAAGCTGAACAGATGAACAGGCGAACACAGCAGTTGCTTAGGCATTATATTACGCCTGATCAACTTGCTGGGCTGTACAGTAATGGCATTCATTCAGCAAGAGTTCATTCACCCAACCAAGTGCATTTAGACTGGAAGCCCAGAAACCCATTGGATTTCCTGTTCCCAGATCCTAAATCACAGTCGGTCTCTGGAAGAATTAAATGCACCCTTGAGTATGAATGGAAGTATCAAACACACCTTAAGTACGGATGGAAGTATCAAATACGCGCTTGAGTATGGACGGATGTTGCCGAAACAGTAGAACAGCTACAGAAATCTGAAAGGGCTGTGAGACAGCCAGGAAATTTCCATCAACGGATGCCTGCTTTCCAGGTGGGTCTGAGTTCATGCCAGAAGAGGTCATATCATGGAAATTAATGCCGCAGTACTACGGACCGTGGACTGTCCTAGATATTGTAGGAGATGATTTTGACGGCCCGTCCTATGTGATTGTTCATGTCCCTCCTCACCTTCACGCTTACCCATTTTTTCAGGCATGGCCTTTTTCTTAAAGCGATCAGTTTCCTTCTTAGCATTCTACACTGCCTCCAACGATGAACGATCGAGTCGGTGTCAACCGGATTGTGGAACACCGACTTTTGCCTGTGCCAAAGCCACCAGGCAGAGGGAGACCAGCAAAGCCTCAGATGGAGTATTGAGTGACATTCAGACATCATCTGGGTCCAGGTGAAGACAGGTGATTTGCAAGAGAAAAATTGATTGAGTCTGTGGCCCAAGTGGTTCTGCAGTACAAGAGGTGTCTGAAAGGAAAGCAACGGCAAACGTAAAGGTTCCCAGGGGCCTTTCGAATGTGAGGCTACAGGCCTCTGCTGCCGTAAGACGAGGCCCACTCGTTGAAATTTGGCAAGCCATAGTGAAGGTCGCACCCTTGCCCGAGCCGAGCTCCGGACCAGTAGGCCCAGTCGGGATGCCAGCCTGGGTGGTTCCATGGGCTGGTAACCAGACCTGTAGCGACTGCCTACCAGAGGGACTAGACGCTTGCCTGAAGACAGAACAAACGAAGGAGAGGCTGGGGCACAGTACTCATTTGGGTATTAGTAGCATGCAGCAGTGCTGGAGCAGTGCTTGCAGCCAGCAATCAGGTGAGGAGAATGGTGGCAAGGGAACGAGAGGATCAGGGAAGGAGCAGGCATAGTGGGGACTGGCAGATACCTAACCTCATGTTTCCCGGCGAGGGCCTCATGTGATCAGACTCCTCAGCGACATCTGGCGAGAAAAGAGTGGAGAGAGGGAGTGTGAGAGAGGGCACGCTAGTATGAGTTGGTTGAGTCGGAGAGTAGTCTAGGCAGACACATCATAGTAGGGCTATGGCATTGTTGTTGTATTGATTGTTGTAGGCACGAAGTGGGCTTTCATTGCCAAGACACGTCAGTGTTCAATGTGTTCTTGATTTGGTGTGATCTTGGCTCTGCCATATTCTGCTTTCAACTAGGCTTATTCATGATTGGTCTTCTGCGGGCTTTCACATCTAAACAAATCATGAGTCTGAATCCTGTTGCACTCATAGCCCTCCTTTTATTATTACAAAAGGGGGGGGGGGGGGGGGGGGGGGGGGAAAAAAAAAAAAAAAAAAAAAAAAAAAAAAAAAAAAAAAAAAAAAAAAAAAAAAAAAAAAAAAAAAAAAAAAAGAGGAAGAAGAAAAAGGAGAGAGAAGAGGAGAGAGAGAGAGAGAGAGAGAGAGAGAGAGAGAGAGAGAGAGAGAGAGAGAGAGAGAGAGAGAGATCCAAGAAAAAAAAGTGGTGCACCCCAATCCAAATCTAACTACGCAATGCTCATCCCCACGAAAATCTAACTACACCCGCTCTCCCCCTCTCCCCCCCCCAAGACACACACAGATCAAGTGTAGTATCTGTTCTGATCAGTTTCATATCTGATCTGTGATCCATCAGGACCCATTAAAAAAAAAAACAGAAAAA